TTGGTTACATCCTTGTTAAGTAAGGATATGCGTAGCCCTGGACTGAGTTCAATTTTAAATGAACCAGCTGAGAACACGCCCATTCAGAGTTATATTCTGAAATTAGATGCTGACCTGAAACGTCCAGATATAACAAAGGACACGGCACAGCGATGGTACGAATTCCTGGTTATGCACGTGTTCTGTAAGAACATAGGGAATAACGACCGTGAGAGTCTGTACACCGAGTTGCGACGTAAACACGAATGAGGCTCGAGACAAGGGGCAGGAAACAAAGTTTCATCTATATCGACTTACGTGGGAACAGTTTTATGATACTGTATCTACCCTTTTCCCCGCACATCGAGTAGCATCGAAGGGAAAAGCGGCTGTTAAGAAGCCGCGGGAGCTCACCGATCACGGGTACGTATCCAGGCAGACCTCAAACGAGAGACCCCAACATACACGTGCTCGCGACTCCACTTTATCCACGCGACCCAATAAACGGGCACGCGCAGGAGCGAAGGACATGGAACCTCCATTTAAGGAGATTAAGAAATGTGTCGACGCACAGTGTGGATATGACATGTACCAGTTAACCCCTAACGGTTATTGTAATGGTAGACATACATCCACCTGTACATACTTTCTTATTAAGTGTGTCAAGTGTGAGAAGACCAATGGCTATCGCACTAAGTCTTGTGACAGAAAGCCCAACATTAAGTTGGAGTGAAGGTACTACCAGGTACAATCGTTACACAGACAATACAACGACTCTTTAGATGAGCGTGTAATTATTCCTGTATATTGCAATGGAAATAAAATCCTTGCGTTGATTGATCCTGGTTCAGAAATTTCATGTATATCCGATCGCTTTGCATTAATGAAAGATATCGAAAGGAGAACATAAACAACTCACCTCATTTTAGCTGATGATAGAACTGCTAAGTATAAATACACTACGAGTCTTTAGACAATATTAATCTTCATATGGCTAATGTTACAGGAGCGCAGAGAAGTGAATTTATTCGAATACTCAATGATATCATACATTTCGCATCAGAGAGGGGTGATCCAGGTAGTGTGGTACGTTCGATGCAACTTGTTACGCATATTGGAGGTTACTAGATCCGAACTTGAACTGAAGAGATTTAAATTCGAGTTTAAAATAAAGGATAGAGAAGCTTCGAATATTAAGTTTGCAATTGAACTTTGAATAGAACGAGGCATAACTTATGCGAAAGCTATAGCTGGGTGAGGGAACACATGGGATCTGAAAGCGCATACTTGAGAATTTATTAAGTGCTTAAATTTATTGTCCCATAGCGCATGGTCAATCTGCCATAATCGCCGGAATACTGATTGGTGCAAGTGGAATTATGGCATTTATAAGGACAATAATTCACGGACCAAGAATTTGTATGTAACATTTTAAATCCGCATTCACCTAATAAGCGTATAGTTATAGTTATCTACAGTTCTGTCTAATGCGTTCATTTCGTAGCTGTAATCTAAACGACAGAATGTCATATACGTATTCCAACACAGTCGATGCCGGTAACAACCAAACTGTCGTATCATCCTGGAACCCCTCTTAGTACTTGCTTTTTGCTTCCAAAATTCTAACACTACTGCCAAGTGAGATATGTGTCAATCCCGTATATAGAATGTTACTAAAATTTATTGAGGCCGTATTTGAAACGAATGTTTCCCACTCAACGCTATCCGCAGTCCCAAATCCTGCCAAATATATCGCCATGAAGCAGTACTTTTAATTGAGTGAACATAATGTCGTTTACGAAACGTACATCATGTCGCACCGAGCCATATTCAAAAGTCGTTACTCCCTTCTACTACTCTGAATAATCATATCGAATTTGAAGACAAGGGCAGATAAGTCAAGCTTCCATCTTAGATTCGGGTACTGAGCTTGGTGCTTCGAACCATTTCGCTGAAACTGAATCGAATGGCCAATGTTGAGGCCTGCTGTACCGGATCGCACTAATTTATGGCATATCGTGAATTAGTTCCATCATATGGTCCATGAGTCCCGCCATGCGTTGATATTCTCGCAGAAGCAGAGGTACGTTCTCAAAGTCGAGATCCTCGACATTTAAGACCCTCTGCAATGTTCAGGGAAGTATCATCATAAACATCCAGCAACGAGAATACGCAAAAGGCTATTCGTGATATTTGTAGCCTAATATTCGCCAGCATAACTTGCATTAGGGGTATCATTGATCGGCTATGACGTGTCATTATACAACATTGTACCTGCTTCAGATATACAAAAGATACTGTACAAGTCATCGACAAGAAAGTTTACTCTGACTACTCAACGGCGCACAGAGACTGATATCCCCTGATGCCACACTGAGAAAAACTCGCCCTATACAGCAGTAGCAGAGGCCGATAACACCAAACTCCAGGAATATCCGTATATGCAAATAAAAGTAAGAACTTGCCACACAACCACGAAAATGGAAATGAAAGACCTACTACCACACACAGCTGGGCGCTTAACGATAGTGCATCAACATCATCCGCTGAAACATACTCCAATGATAACACCTTGAATGCAACGGAATATTTCTCACTGAATCGCATAAACCCAGCACAATAAACAGTATATATTCACAGATAGACACTCAAGGGCAACAATCCACACTGCACAAACAGAAGTGGGTGTACACAAGCATACGCGGTCATTGACCAACATACAATCAACAACATGTGCACAATTGAACACTGGCAGGAGAAATGAACAGCTATCCACTAAAGAGGGGCGGACTGGACTGTCATACGATTATAAAAAATACTGCCTGCAGCTTTGTACAAGCCGAAGGTTTCAAAGCCCTTATCCTTGGCATGGCCTAAACAGGTGAGGCACCCCATTAGAGTACAAGCAAACCTGATCGGTATGAGCACGGACAACTTGCTTTCAGAGCACAGATATTCACTCTATATACCCAAGCACGCAATGATATACTGCACTGAAAATCGTGTGGGAAGGAACCCTCACCACAGCACAAACAAGCAAGATAATCTAAGTAACATGTGGTAGTAAAGAAGTCACACCCACTACGACATACATATACTAGGCGACATAATCCGATACGTAGAATACGGTTTTAACTAGTTGAAAGTACAAATTTTGCTAAAACTCAGGATCAACGAACATGCCCACAGCGCAGTGGAATATCAAAACACCAACCCACGGACACGTGTGGTGGTCGTGTACTAACACTTACCAGTCGAGGATCGGTACCACTGTAATTGGTTGCTAAACTCTTCATGTACTGTATCACCGCGTCTCGATCAAGACCCTGGGGCCGATATGGTGGCGAAAACATTGGGGAGGAGTGAGCAACCAGACAGATTTCATAGACAACGCATGACGCAAACAGTAGCGTCGACGAGAGGATCGATAGAAGTATGCATAGAAAGTACCCGAGATACTGACCATGCATGAAAAGTCCTGGTTACTCTGCTAGCACACTCCCTTCCACATCAGTCAACTTGTACACCGTATTCTTATGACTAACACGGCTATAGACTCAAATCTGCCTATAAGTATCGAAGGGCCTATGGCGTGTGGTACAAATGTCCATGGCGGAAGGGATATCTACAACCCGGTTTGTCATATTATATAAATTACAACTCACAGTCCAATCAAAAGACCTATCCTACAGCAAAAGGTACCAGAGTTGTCACACACCTGCTCCGTCGTAGCGCCATTGTTCTGCGCCTCTGAAGCTATATTCACGGGCAAAGGAGATGTATTCGATCGACTCGCACTTGCTTTGGGTTCCGGGGTGGTGATCTCCTTGCTGTCTGGTTGGTCCACTCGGGTTGTACCGCTCCCGCTCCCCCGATTCAGAATGTTCGGTACTTCTGAGACATAGGACTGTAAACTCGATAGAAGCGTCCGTCGACCCAACCGCCACGACCCTGACGAGCTCTTGGCCGACGCTGCATCCTTTGTGTCAATACAATAATTAAAATCAATGTTCGATCTTTATGTCACGAAACTAAATAGAATGAGTGGATAATCAATGTATAGTACCGATTCTTCAAGGTTGCGCTACACGATGTAGATCAATCAAATATTATCACAGTTAAGCTTTGCGCAAAGCGTCCCGTGTCCAACAGAAATTCGGCTATTGTAATATACAATATTTCCAAAAAGAAGCCTCATTCGAGAGCTTAGCACACCTTATTATTCGCATCCGTATTTGATACATTTCTCGGCCTAAGCGACATATTCCATTTCGCTTCACCCTCGTCCACTTGTCTGTATTTCAGTGTACGGGGGCATACGCGTTAGGTATCGATGTTGGAGCTTGAATTTGTACAGACAATTTGAACTATCTAGCAGCACGATGTGCTTGACTGATGTAATGGAAGATCTGAACTTCGTGATAGGAGCAAAGTATGATTAGATCTCCACTCACAATGTGATCTCGTACATGGCGCCCAATAGTGCCAAGTCTCTCTAAAGCAATACTAAACAGTCGGACAGTAACCTGGGGTACCAAGGAAGAGCCACTCCAGTCAACCAGTTAAGATTTGTTACATGACAGTCACACACTATCAATAAATATTGATAATATGTGGGATCTGCCACTCAATTTATAACCATACAGTCAATTTGTGACCACAAGCGCGCTTTGTGAACGTTAACTAATATTATATACAATGTCTATACTAAATCAAGGCACCCAGACAGCCTCAAGAGCAGTATAGATTGCTATAAATTGGCCTGTATGCTATGCTCACCTTTCAAAGTCGTCGGGATCGATATTTAAGGTCTTCTCATCTAAATTTGATACGAATTCCACCGCGCTGACCTGCATTTCGAAGATGGAGCTGTGCTTAGAACGTGAGATATCCGCGATGGTCAAAAAGCGACCCGATGGTATTCTCTTAATCATCATATACCCGACATAAATGGTGATTTCCATGGAATGTGCGAGCCCAACACATACTACTCTTGTGGCAATAGACAGCCTTTTAGGATACCACAATTATGCAGTAAGTGAAATTTTACACTTTTGTTTCATAAGACTCGTCCAGCATATCATAGCAATAATGCTATAAAGTTTAACTGACACCATAGTCATAAAACCAATCAGCTTCACATCATACCATAGTTGTATAATAGTATGCCTGCTCTGATACTAGCATCCTCGGGTTGCGGAACCTCTCGATGTACATTAAATTACTCTTGAAATTCATAGGGTTAGTCACCAATATCACGTATATGAGTATAGGCATCAGATCATCTGCACTTGCCGGCTGCTCCACTGATCTAAGTACAGAGCGAGTAGGAAAATTATACGCTGCATTCAGGTGTGATTTAAGAGTCAATTTTTCCGTATCTGTCACGATTTACATCTATTTCCCACGTCTCTCAACATACATGGTAGTAAACCGTCAAAGAACAAAAAGGAGATCGACTGGGAAAAAAAAAGAAATGGCAACAAAGGAACTCAACTTATTGCAAGCAACTACATACTCTGGCGAAGCACTCTTCGCTGCCTGTTGCAGCAGTCGAAATATGATCTTGCAACAATTTACAACGCAGACAAGTTTCGCACGTGGTGATTTAAATCGGTTCATTTGTTTCAGTTCGTTTCCCGCCATCTCTATCGTGACTTTATTCGACACCTTATGAGGCGCAATTTCTGCAAGCCGGTATGATAGGTATAACATGAGCTTGAGGCTGATCCGTTTTGATGTATGTATACATAATCTTTAAGTGTGTACCCACAACCTTATATGCATATTGAGATGTACGTGTATCTAAATCAGCAAAAAAACGAATTTAAAAATACATTCAAATAGTGGTATTCGAATTTATGTGCATCTCCATATTAGGCTATACTTAAAGTCTACGGTGAAATATAATCTATACACTAATGAAAAACACGTATATATGTAAGTTTCTATATATATATATATATATATATATATATATATATATGTTATATATATATATATAATATATATATAGTANATACTATATATATATATATATATATATATATATATA